GTAGGGATAGGGCCACACTATGCTGCTCATGCTGGTCTCAAACTCCTGGGCTCAAGTGATCCTCTTACCTCATCCTCCTGAATAGGTAGGCAGGCACCACCGTGCCTGGCTTATTTATTTATTTATTTATTTGTTTATTTATTTTGTAGGGATAGGGCCACACTATGCTGCTCATGCTGGTCTCAAACTCCTGGGCTCAAGTGATCCTCTTACCTCATCCTCCTGAATAGGTAGGCAGGCACCACCGTGCCTGGCTTATTTATTTATTTATTTATTTGTTTATTTATTTTGTAGGGATAGGGCCACACTATGCTGCTCATGCTGGTCTCAAACTCCTGGGCTCAAGTGATCCTCTTACCTCATCCTCCTGAATAGGTAGGCAGGCACCACCGTGCCTGGCTTATTTATTTATTTATTTATTTGTTTATTTATTTTGTAGGGATAGGGCCACACTATGCTGCTCATGCTGGTCTCAAACTCCTGGGCTCAAGTGATCCTCTTACCTCATCCTCCTGAATAGGTAGGCAGGCACCACCGTGCCTGGCTTATTTATTTATTTATTTATTTGTTTATTTATTTTGTAGGGATAGGGCCACACTATGCTGCTCATGCTGGTCTCAAACTCCTGGGCTCAAGTGATCCTCTTACCTCATCCTCCTGAATAGGTAGGCAGGCACCACCGTGCCTGGCTTATTTATTTATTTATTTATTTGTTTATTTATTTTGTAGGGATAGGGCCACACTATGCTGCTCATGCTGGTCTCAAACTCCTGGGCTCAAGTGATCCTCTTACCTCATCCTCCTGAATAGGTAGGCAGGCACCACCGTGCCTGGCTTATTTATTTATTTATTTATTTGTTTATTTATTTTGTAGGGATAGGGCCACACTATGCTGCTCATGCTGGTCTCAAACTCCTGGGCTCAAGTGATCCTCTTACCTCATCCTCCTGAATAGGTAGGCAGGCACCACCGTGCCTGGCTTATTTATTTATTTATTTATTTGTTTATTTATTTTGTAGGGATAGGGCCACACTATGCTGCTCATGCTGGTCTCAAACTCCTGGGCTCAAGTGATCCTCTTACCTCATCCTCCTGAATAGGTAGGCAGGCACCACCGTGCCTGGCTTATTTATTTATTTATTTATTTGTTTATTTATTTTGTAGGGATAGGGCCACACTATGCTGCTCATGCTGGTCTCAAACTCCTGGGCTCAAGTGATCCTCTTACCTCATCCTCCTGAATAGGTAGGCAGGCACCACCGTGCCTGGCTTATTTATTTATTTATTTATTTGTTTATTTATTTTGTAGGGATAGGGCCACACTATGCTGCTCATGCTGGTCTCAAACTCCTGGGCTCAAGTGATCCTCTTACCTCATCCTCCTGAATAGGTAGGCAGGCACCACCGTGCCTGGCTTATTTATTTATTTATTTATTTGTTTATTTATTTTGTAGGGATAGGGCCACACTATGCTGCTCATGCTGGTCTCAAACTCCTGGGCTCAAGTGATCCTCTTACCTCATCCTCCTGAATAGGTAGGCAGGCACCACCGTGCCTGGCTTATTTATTTATTTATTTATTTGTTTATTTATTTTGTAGGGATAGGGCCACACTATGCTGCTCATGCTGGTCTCAAACTCCTGGGCTCAAGTGATCCTCTTACCTCATCCTCCTGAATAGGTAGGCAGGCACCACCGTGCCTGGCTTATTTATTTATTTATTTATTTGTTTATTTATTTTGTAGGGATAGGGCCACACTATGCTGCTCATGCTGGTCTCAAACTCCTGGGCTCAAGTGATCCTCTTACCTCATCCTCCTGAATAGGTAGGCAGGCACCACCGTGCCTGGCTTATTTATTTATTTATTTATTTGTTTATTTATTTTGTAGGGATAGGGCCACACTATGCTGCTCATGCTGGTCTCAAACTCCTGGGCTCAAGTGATCCTCTTACCTCATCCTCCTGAATAGGTAGGCAGGCACCACCGTGCCTGGCTTATTTATTTATTTATTTATTTGTTTATTTATTTTGTAGGGATAGGGCCACACTATGCTGCTCATGCTGGTCTCAAACTCCTGGGCTCAAGTGATCCTCCTGCCTCAGCCTCCCAAAGCACTAGGATTACAGGCATGAGCCACTGCACCCGGCCTATTAGTTTTCTGGAACTGTGCAATAAATTACCGCAGACTCAGCAACTTCTAACACCACACACATTATCTCATAGTTTCTGTAGCTGCAGTGCCAAACAGAACCAGACAGGACAGACCCCGCCTCAGGCCTAAGTACACGGCTATGGCACCATATCCTGTGGGAAGAGGGTTGTCAAGGCCTGAATAAATGATGGGAACAGGGCGAGGGGCAGACGGACACCTTATACCAGAAGAAAAGCCTTATGCCTTTGTGCTAGGCCGGGAACCTTGCTCTGGCCTCACCTCACACTGAAGAGGTAAATGTGCCCCCCAAAACACAGGAACCTGGAGTTTCTGGTGGTTCTGAGTCCCACTTGTCCCCTTAGATATCAGCCACAGAAAGCTGACAGGATCCCCACAACTGACCCAGATAACAGGTCCTAGAGGCCCATGCTCTCCAGAGGAATTTGTAGATTATCCCAATGGCCACACAGCAAAGTAGCTTGTTGCTACTAAAAATAAAAAATTATCAAACAGCAAAATGCAGAAAACTGTTCTGGAAAGCCAAAGCAGTTCTGTCTGGGTGAAAATCTAAACAGGTCAGAGAAGCAGTGAAGGCAGACATGCCCCTCTTGATATCAGCTAGGCACTCCAACTTGGACATCACCGTGAGGGCGTGTCCCGCCAGTAAAAAATTAGAAATGCAACATCAAAGCGAGCCAAAATAACCCCGGTCCAAACAACACACAGAGGAGGAAGGAGTCAACAAAAAGGGCATCACAAGCAGCCGGCAGGCCAGGGCGCCGGGAGGAGCAGCTAGAAAGTCTCTTGGGAAAATTTTTTTTTTTTTTTTGGACCGTCTCATTCTGTCACCCAGGCTAGAGTGCAGTGGCCCGATCTCTGCTCACTGCAACCTCTGCCTCCCAAGTTCAAGTGATTCTCCTGTCTCAGCCTCCTGAGTAGCTGGGATTACAGGTGTGTACCACCACGCCCAGCTAATTTTTGTATTTTTGTATTTTCTTTTTTTTTTTTTTGAGACAGAGTCTTGTACTGTCCCCTGGGCTGGAGTGTAATGGCACAATCTCAGTTCACTGCAATCTTCACCTCCCAGGTTCAAGCGATTCTGCCTCAGCCTCTTGAGTAGCTGGGATTACAGGTGTGAACCACTACGCCCAGTATTAATTTTTGTATTTTTAGTAGAGACAGGGTTTCACTGTGTTGGCCAGGTTGGTCTCGAACTCCTGACCTCATGATCTGCCCACCTCAGCCTCCCAAAGTGCTGGGATTACAGGCATGAGCCACCGCACCTGACCGGGAAAACTTTTAATTTGGGAGACTCCATTCAGCTCAAACATGTATCGCGCACCAACTGTGTTTCTGGTTCTACTGCTATAAAGATAAAACAGAGACTCCCTCCCTTCACGGAGCTCAGCCTGGGAGGGAACCTCAGCTCAGAGCCACACATTCTGGGTTTGAATTCTGATTCTACCACTTATTAGCTGAGTGAGCACAGGTAATCACTGTAACCTCGTTGAGCTTCCAGATTTCCCAGCTGTAAAGCAGGTTTAAAAACCACCTGTTGGCAAGTAATACTGGTGAAAAAAAAAAAACAAAAAAAAAAACCACCACCTATTTCAAAATGGGGTTGCTGTAAGACTAAACGAAAGTAAGTATATAAAATGTGTAGTGCCTGTGTAATTTGGGGAAATATGCCTGGAGACAAATTTGGGCACGTGATGACATTTAGAGGAAACAAGCACGGGGCCTGGGAGGAGGAGAGGCGAACCTCTCTGGGGAGTCAAAAGGGAGCCATCACAAAGGGACCAGGGTCAGGTTGATTTGTTGTTGTTGTTGTTTTGAGACAGGGTCTTGCTCTGCCGCCCAGGCTGGAGTACAGTAGTGTGATCTCTGCTCACTGCAACCTCTGCCTCTCTGGCTCAAGCAATTCTCCTGCCTCAGCCCCCTAAGTAGCTGGGACTACAGGTGCATGCCCAGCTAATCTTTTTGTAATTTTGGAAGAGATGGGGTTTTACCATGTTGCCCAGGCTGGTCTTCAACTCGTGAGCTCAGGTGATCTGCTTGCCTCAGCCTCCCAAAGTGATGGGATTATAGGAGAGCCACAGTGCCTGGCCTAGGGTCATGTTTTAAAGGGTGAATGGAAGCACATTTATCAGGCAAAGGGTATAGAAATAGATTCCAGGCCAAAAGAACAGCGGGTGCAAAGACATGGCGTGTCCCAAGAAGAACAAGCAGCTGGAGACATAAGGGAGGCCAAGTCACAGACAAGGAAAGGGGTGGGGGCCATGCCAAGGCTCTGAATAGCGGCTGGGGCACAGGAATTTTGTGTAGGCAGGCGCAGTGGCTCATGCCTGTAATCCCAGCACTTTGGGAGGCCAAGGTGGGCAGACCACTTGAGCTCAGGAGTTCGAGACCAGCATGGCCAACATGGTGAAACACCATCTCCACTAAAAATACAAAAAAGTTAGCCAGGCATGGTGGTGGGCGCCTATAGTCCCAGCTACTTGGGAGGCTGAGGCACAAGAGTTGCTTGAACCTGGGAGGTGGAGGTTGCAGTGAGCCAAGAAGGCGCCAGCCTGAGTGACACAGCGAGACTCCGTCCCAAAATAAAAGAAAAAAAAAAAATTGTGTGTAGGCATGAGAGGCCAGGGCTGGAGAGTAGAAGAACAAGGGTAGCTGGAAGGGAAAGTTAGTTCTGCCTGGGAGTGCAGAGGTGGTGCCGACCAGACCAGACCGAGGACCTGGGGAGGGAGAGAGGTCAGTGACCTCGAGCTGAGGATAGAAGAAACAGGCTCTGGAGGCCTCTCAGGCCTGTTGGTAAGCAGCACCCCCGCTGTGTGCCCCAGCCCCCACCTGATATTGTCAATCCAGCAGTCAATGATGACAGGCAGCAGCAGTTCCAGGTTCAGCCAGATTGTGAAGTAGCTTTCGGTCTTCTTGGAGCAGAGGTAGTGCACCACTGTCGGCTTATCCAGTTTGGCTTCCAGCTGGTTCCCCAAATCACCAGGGACTGCAGGGGGCACAGGACATGTGTGAGCCCTCGCCCCGGCAGGTTCAAGACTCCCAAGAACTTTGATGTCTGCAGCAGACCCCCTGAAGAGCCACAGATACTATGGCAGACCTGTGCAGTTCCACACCTCAAATTAAAGCACAGTGCCAGTGGCAGGAAATTCAGAGCAGGGACCTTGACTCAAAGGCCAGGGAACCATTTTTGTGCAGAAAAGCTGCTACTGCTGTGTAGTGCAGAGATGCCTGTGGGGCGCTTGGGAGAGGCCTGACATGTTTGGGGAAGGGCCCTAACACTGTCTCCAACTCCAGATAAAGTAAGTCTCCTAGATATTCACTGGAACATCCTCCTGGGCCATTCAGATTATTGGAAAGGGGTTTAAGATAAAGTCACTCCCCATGCTAGGCCTCTGTTTCCATATCTGTTAAATGAGATTTTGGTCTGAATCACCCCCAGCAAACGCAGACACACCTTTACACATAGTTTCTATGGTTAATGGACCCAGATGGGAGCTGTGTCTGGGAGGAGGGGCTTGGAGACCCCTTTGCATTCCAGAACCTCCAAAGTTTGGCCAAGGCCCTATCATTAGATATATACCCTTGAGGTGAGGTATGGTGGCTCATGCCTGTAATCCCAGCACTTTGGGAGGTGAGGAGGTGAGTGGATCATTTGTGGTCAGGAGTTCAAGACCAGCCTGGCAGGCCGGGCACAGTAGCTCACGCCTGTAATCCCAGCACTTTGGGAGGCCGAGGTGGGTGGATCACGAGGTCAGGAGATAGAGACCATCCTGGCCAACACGGTGAAACCCCGTCTCTACTAAAAATACAAAAATTAGCCGGGTGTGGTGGCGCGCACCTGTAATGCCAGCTACTCAGGAGGCTGAGGCAGGAGAATCGCTTGAACCTGGGAGTCGGAGGTTACAGTGAGCCAAGATCACCACTGCACTCCAGCCTGGCAACAGAATGAGACCCCGTCTCTTAAAAAAAAAAAAAAAAAAGACCAGCCTGGCCAACATGGTGAAAGCCCATCTCTACTAAAAATACAAAAAATCATCTTGGCGTGGTAGCACATGCCTGTAATCCCAGCTACTCGGGAGGCTGAGACAGGAGAATTGCTTGAACCCAAGAGGAGAGGTTGCAGTGAGCTCGTGCCATTGCACTCCAGCCTGGGCGACAGAGCAAGACCCGGTCTCAAAAAAAAAAAAAAAGATATATACACTGGGGGCTTGAACCCAAAGTCTTCCACCCATAGCTATCCCAGGCTACAGAGAAGACAGGGTCCTGTTCACTGTGAGAGAGGAAGAAGGAAACAGAACAGAGCTCTTGGCCACTTGGCTAAAATTCAACCAAAGTATCCAGGATAGGCTTGTGGGAGGGAAATGAACAGAAACATAGCTGAGAGAAGCCTACACTGGCACCCGCCAGCCTACCAAGGGCCCAGGCCTTACTAAAGACCAGAGTCCAGTAAGGTGCCACAGAACAGATCATCTGGAGGGCCCTGGCATGGCTGGGAGCCCATGTTGGAAACAGCCACCCTGAACCAGCACCATTATCACCACAGTCCAGGCCCTCGGGTGACTTCTCTCCATCCCAGCCAGCCCGTTCAGTCTACTCAGAACTCTGGGGCCCTGGTGACACCCAAATCCCTCCCCACTGCTTCAAAGCCCTTCACAGTTTCGTTACTCCCAGTGACCTTTCAGGCCTCACCTGCCCCCACATGCCATGCTCTCACCACTTCCCAAACACATCCCCGTTTAGGGTCCACAATCATCTAGTGAAAACCAGCACTGGGCTCTCCTGGACATTCACTGGGCACTGACTGTAAATCCAGCCCTGCATAGGGCACGCCCTCCCTGGGCACCATCCCAGTGTCTTCAGGGTGCCATGAGAGGCAGGGGTGGCACCTGCCTTCACCTCTCCTCATGGTATGGGTGCAGAGGTGGGGAGTCCCCATCACGATAGCCTCTGGATGACATGCCTGTGGACTGGGCAGGGCAGGGCGAAGACCCTGGTCACTGTCTCTACCAAACGGGAAATGGCTAAAAGAGGAAGTCACCAGATCTGCTTTGCTCAGATGCTCCTTGCCCTGGTCAGGCTGTGTGGCCTCTAAAAATAGCAGCGGCCACTTCCTGAGCCCCTCTGTGCCTGGAACTAGGACAAGAGCCATCTGCATGCCTTTCACCTCAAGTAACACTGGGAGGGGACAGCCTTACTATTCCACTTAACAGATGAGGAGACTGAGGCTGCAAGAGGTGGAAATGGCCTTGCCATTTCCTTCCCCTTGCCCAGGGTCTTCTGTATCACATCTCCCCGGCCTCTCTTTCCTCCACCACCATTTCAGGACCCACCCCTAGAGGATTCTGGTCCTCTGACAGTCAAGGTCAGATCCCTGCTCTGTGCCCAGGAGCTGCTTGTCCAACTGCCCACCACGATGTCTCCCAGGGCTAAGGCCAGCAGCCTCCCTCCCTGAGAAGCTGGGCAGGTTAGGACTCCTGCTTCTCTGTGATTCTGGGTGGGGTCTGAGGCTCTTCTGCTGTGACCTAGAATAAACAGACTGACTGAATTGATGAGTGTGGTTAGCATTAATCCAGGCAAAATGGCTGTGTGCCAGCCACAGACCACGTGTTTCCCAATGCCATGCCCCTCAGACTCAGAAATCTGCAGGCCCACCCAAGACTCCCTGAGGCCCTCAAGATAAAGTCCAGATGACCTAAACAGTCACAATGCCTGTGCAGTCCACTCCTCCCCTGACTCGATCCCAGGCAGCCTGAGATGCTCACCTCTCTCCCCCTGCCCAGTACTCTCTCCTGGCCTTAGCTCCAGCTATATACTCCAGGAAGCCTTACTTGACACCCACCCATCTGCTGGGTTGGTGGATTCTCTTTGCTTGCCCCACACAGGCTTCCTCTCTGGGGATCATTGTTATTGCTATCCTGCAAGCTTTGGGGAGGCAGGGCCAAGTCTGCCCAAATCCCATGGTGAACCTGGGCCTAGAATCCCCCTGGAGCATTTCCTGGCTGGGAACTCCTGGTGGGGCCTGCCTGGCACCACCCTGCCTGCCAACTCTACCCTTCTGTGATTTGCATTGTACCCATTTAAAGTACTCTCAGCAGAAAGAGCACGGAGATCACGCTGCACTAGACTCCACTTGTAACTCATGCCTCGGATGCCTCTGCTTTCAGGAATCCTGGCTGGCCATGGACACGCCAGCTGTGGATGGCAGTGACAGCCTGAATGAGGCACCCAAGACCCCTAGACAGAGGTCTCATCCCTGCCCATCCCCACAAGGAAATACTGTGGCCGCTGTAGAATTGCCAGGGTTGTGATCAAGGAGCAGCGTGGGCAGGGGAGGTCACCCAGCCTCGACATAGTCTAGTCCAAGCATGTGTGGCAGGGTAAGAATACAAGCACGTTGCCTGACACAGGTTCATGGCCATTGCCCCAACCCTTTCCCCCGACTTCAGCGTCTTCAGTTTCCCTTAGGCCTTTTCCCTCAGGAAATGCCACACATCTGATAAGTTGTGGGAGTTGGTGGCCAGCTAGGAGAGCAATCCTTTCCCTAAGGAGGTTCCCTTCAGTAATGACTTCTGGTATATGTGGCATTGGAAGGGTCGAGGGTGACAGCCTTCTAGCCAGGCCCACCTCGATGCAGAGGTCAACTCAGGAGCCACTCTACACACCCCCACCAGCCCTCAGGAGTGGGGCTGAAGCACCTGTCTTTCCAGCTAAAAAATGGGGTAAGGGGAGGCAAGGCTTGGGAATGATGCAGACAAGTGGAACTATGAATAACCAGATGGCAACTCACCCACTCACCCCCATTTTCTACCAGGGCAGGAGGTGGGGAGCTGACCACACCCGGCCTAGCATGGCGGGAGGTGGGCCGGCAGATCTAGATCACCTAAGTGACAAGACAGACACCAATACGCTCCCCCATTTCGTGACTGGAACAGATGCAGACCGGGAAGGTAGCCCCGCCCGCGGCCCGTCCCGCCCGACCGACTGACCCACCACGAGACCCATGCCTCACCCAGCACCACTGGGGGGTGACGTCCGGCCGGGAGCGCTGGGTCTGCGAGCAGCATTAGCAGCAGCAAGAGGAACAGGAGGCCATCCGGGAGCAGCCCCACACGGTAGGGGCGGAGGTGGAGGCCCATGGTGTACGACGGTCGCTGCAGGTCCAGGCTGCAGGTTCAGCTCTCTGGGCTCTCGCCTAGGCGGGGGCGGTGGCGACGCACTTAACCCCGCCGCCCGCATCCCCCGCATCCTCCCGGCCAATCAGAGCCCTCCTCCCGCAAACGGCCTGCCAATAGGGACTCGCCGCCATATACGTCCCTCCCAGTCAGGGCTCACCGCCCTGCGCTTGCCCAACCCCCTGCTCCCGGGACCACGCTGCGCGCCGAGCGCATCGATAGATCGAGGTACTTACCGCCTGGCTCCGGGCTCTCAGTCGCCCACCCGGGGACCCACCTCGCCGCTGCTGTGTACCCCGCCCAGCCCTGAGTACCCGAAATCCGCGCTGCGCAGCCCTCACCTGGCGACGCCCTGACCTGGAGGATCTGGAACGAACAAGACAGGGAGAGGATAAGGGGTGCAGCGCTCGCTGCTGCTGAGCGACCCCGGTTAAAGCAAGAAGAGGGGAAGTGAGTGCCTGACAGTTCTTGGGCCTCAGGTGACCAGGAGCTGACCAGGACCTTTGTGCAACCCGCACACCAATTCTTAACACACCCTGCCCCGAGGGCACCTGGGTTCGGCCAGTCAGCCTCTGTAACTCTGCCCCGGGGTTACAGATGCGGAGGGAACCGGGAGAGGCCAGGTCAGCATGTTCAGTTCCCAAGAGTGGGGTTAATCTGTTCGTTTTGGGGGCGTAGAGTGCAGCGTCACCCCGCTAGTCCGGGTAGTTCGGGCGCGGGGTTGGGAGTGGGCTTCAGCCTCGATCCTGCACCATGGGCCATCTGCAAGTTCGCCTGTAGAGCAGGAGAGGCATCGGGAGCTCGTGATCCCTCTCCACTCACGCAAACCTGGGGAACCGGAGAGGACACAGACTCCCTGCGCCAGGAAGCAGGGGCAAACAGAGTGGACAAAGACCTGACAGCCGGCACCATAGGTCACTGTGGGATAGAGAGACGAGAGTATTTGGGAAATAGAGGTCTTGATCCTCCACACACACACCCCTTCGAAGGGGCAGCTGCGCCCTGGTCATCCCATCTGGTCCCAATAAATTTGTCCTGCCACTTCCTTCCTTCTTCTTGGTAAGCAGCTGACCTGGCTATGAAGCCACGATCTTGCCCTGCCCTTCTCGAGTTCTTATAATGAAACATGTTGGTGACTGGGCTACCACTATCCTCCCTCTTTCTTTTTTCATTCTTTATTTTATTTTATTTTATTTTATTTTGAGACAGGGTCTGTCTGTCACCCAAGCTGAAGTACAGTGGCGCAATCACGGCTCATTGCATCCTTGACTTCTCAGGCTCAAGCGATCCTTCCCACCTCAGCCTCCTGAGTAGCTGAGACTACAGGTGTACACCCCCACTCAGCTAGTTTTTTTATTTTTTGTAGAGTTGGGGGTCTCACTATGTTGCCCAGGCCAGTCTTGAACTCTTGGCCTTAAGTAATCCACCTGCTTCACCCTCCCAAAGTGCTGAGATTACAGGTGTGTGCCACTGTGCCCAGCCCCACCCTCTCTTAAGGTCCAGCCATCTCCCCCTAAGGCCCTGGCTCAGGATTCCCAAAGCCCCTTCCTCCCCCACCTTCACCCGACAGAAGATCGGTGAAGACCCATCTGGTGAAATCCCAGCGTGGGAGACCATAGAGACTCTTCTGCAGGCCTAGGGACAGGCAGGAGTCCAGTCAAAGGTTAAGTGGAGGAAGGGAAAGATCAAGAGGTGCTGGGCCACCTTGGACTCTGGCCACAGTCTAAATGTCTTGCCAGCCCAGCAGCATCCAGGGTCCCATGTCATGGGCCCCTGGAAGCGTAGCCCTGTCCTCAAGAGGGGTTCCCTGGTGCTTCACCCCCACAGGCCCTGCATGTGTTAGGAACCACAGCCATTAGGGGCAGAATGGCAAGGCCCAGTCAGCAATGACCCATGCTGGCAATGTGGAGAAGAGTCAGAAGGTGAGGTCCTCCCTTTTCACAATGACTCTGCCATCCACCTGATCCCCCAGGCTGCAGACTTGGCATCATCCTGAACTCTGGATGCCTCCATGCTTCTCAGAACCACAACTCAGGTGGTCATAAGGGCTAGCCAGCTCTACCCTTCCCAAACCACACTACCCTATTCCCACAACAGCCTCATCACTGATGTCCCAATGCATACCCTCGTTCCTGTGGGTCGTTCTCCACATGCCAGGCTGACACTGTTTTTTTTTTTTTTTAGAGACAGAGTCTTGCTCTGTCACCCAGGCTGGAGTGCAGTGGTGCGATCCCAGCTCACTGCAACCTCTGCCTCCCGGATTCAAGCGATTCTCCTGCCTCAGCCTCCAGAGTAGCTGGGATTACAGGCACCCGCCACCACGCCCAGCTAATTTTTGTATTTTTTAGTAGAGACAGGGTTTCGCCATGTTGGCCAGGCTGGTCTTGAACTCCTGAACTCAGGTGATCCGCCCACCTAGGTCTCCCAAAGTGCTGGGATTACAGATGTGAGCCACCAGGCCCGGCCCTGATTTTTTTTGAAATCTTGCTCAAATTACTATCTCAAATTGTATGGTTTGCCCTACAAACCATAAATTCTCATTGGATGGGTTTTATTTAATCCTATATATCGGGACTTTGCAATCTGACTCTGGCATAACATTAGGTGAAAAGAAAGTCAAAATATTCCAAAACAATGTTTCTTTGCCATACTTTGAAATGGCCCTGCACAACTGTCCTTTGTGGAGGAAAATTTGCATCTGTAAAGAATCTCTATTGGCCTGGCACGGTGACTCACGCCTATAATCCCAGCACTTTGGGAGGCGGGTGGATCATGAGGTCAGGAGATTGAAACCATCCTGGCTAACACCATGAAACCCCATCTCTAATAAAAACACAAAAAATTAGCCGGGCGTGGTGGCGGGCACCTGTAGTCCCAGCTACTTGGGAGGCTGAGGCAGGAGAATGGCGTGAACCTGGGGGGCGGAGCTTGCAGTGAGGCGAGATGGCGCCACTGTAAGGGAGGAGATTACCCCTCATATCATCTTATGCCCAATTTCTGCCTCCAAAGAAACAAGAAGTAAAAACTAAAAGGCAGAAATGAAATCCACAGGCAGACAGCCCGGCGCCGTACCCTGGGCCTGGTGGTTAAAGATCGACCCCTGACCTAATTGGTTCTGTTATCTGTAGATGACAGACATTGTATAGGAATGCACTGTGAAAATCCCTATCTTGTTTTGTTCCGATCTAATTATCAGTGCATGCACCCCCAGTCACGTACCCCCTGCTTGCTCACTCAATCACGACCCTCTCACGTGCACCCCCTTAGAGTTGTGAGCCCTTAAAAGGGACAGGAATTGCTCACTCAGGGAACTCGGCTCTTGAGACAGAAGTCTTGCCGATGCCCCCGGCCAAATAAACCCCTTCCTTCTTTAACTAGGTGTCTGAGGAGTTTTGTCTGCCGCTGGTCCTGCTACAACTGCACTCCAGCCTAGGCGACAGAGTGAGACTCCGTCTCAAAAAAAAAAAAAAGAAATTATATTAACATAGCTAGTTCTTTTTCTTCCAGGCCCTCCCAATCCTGAAAAGATTAAGAGTCTAGCAACTTTTAAAGGTCTGATCATCTGAGGTCAGGAGTTTGAAACTAGCCTGGCGGCCAACATGGCGAAACCCATCTCTACAAAAATAGAAAAATTAGCTGGCCATGGTGGCGGGCACCTGTAGTCCCAGCTACTCAGGAGGCTGAGGCAGGAGAATCACTTGAACCTGGGAGGCGGAGGTTGCAATGAGCCAAGATCATGTCACTGCACTCCAGCCTGGGAGACAGAGCAAGACTCCATTTAAAAAAAAAGTGTCCAAATATTTTACAGAGTTTGACTCTTTTCAACAGAATAAATCCGGAGACTGAGGAGCCAGTCCAGTTGTGGTATCTTCCTTGGGTGAGCACACAGCCAACACCCTTCACCCCTCCTGCTACTGGGCCCTTTGCACTCCCTCTCGCTGTCCTAAGCTCCAAGCTCCTGTACCAGAACTAGGTGGATCCTGGGCTTGAGGCCACCAAACTAAGACCAGGGCTTCCAGGCTCATTTGGTGGCCAAAGCTGAGTCCATTTAGAGGCGGGTGGAATCTCCCTAAAGCTCATGGCTCAGCAGGTCCCCATTCCTCTGCAGCCAGTCTCCCTGCAGCCAGGAGAGGCCTAACACTGATCCAGCCACAACAGAACCCTGGAGGCAAGGAGCCCAGAACAGAGATCATGCCGCTGCACTCCAGCCTGGGCGACAGAGGGAAACTCCGTTTCAATAAAATAATATAAAATAAAAGGCTGGGCACGGTGGCTCACACCTGTAATCCTAGCACTTTGGGAGGCTGAGGCGGGCAGATTGCCTGAGTTCAGAAGTTTAAGACCAGCCTGCGCAACGTAGCGAAACCTGTCTCTACTAAAAATACAAAAATTAGCCGGGCGTGGTGGCGGGCGCTTGTAATTCCAGCTACTCAGGAGACTGAGGTAGGAGAATGGCCTGAACCCAGGAGGCGGAAGTTGCAGTGAGCCAAGATCGCGCCATTGCACTCCAGCCTGGGAGACAAGAGCAAAACTCCGTCTCAAAATAAAATAAAAATAAAAATAAAGCCAGAGGGTATTGGCCTGATGGGGGCATCGAGGGGACCCCTTTGTCACCACTGTCCTGGTGCTTTGCTCGACCTCGAGCGCACGCCCCTCCCCCTCCGCTTCTAGCAACGGAGTCAGCGCGCCCTCTGGCGTGTGCTCTGCAGCCACTCTGCACAGGTGCGGGGATCCCAACTCAGCAGGTGGGGCCCAACGCGCTGCCTAGTGGGGTGGCCCCCACATGCCATGCTCTCACCCTCTCAAGGAGGGTCGCTGAGAGAGGGGACGGGTCTGGGCAGGCAAGTGTGGATCTCTGCGGTGTTCCCCAGCGTCGAATCCTCTTGCACTGCGAGATCTTTCCTGGCGGGGAAGGGAAGGAGGGAGGGTGTTTTCGCACCGCTCCTAGACGCCCTGGAGGTTCCCGAGACCCGCCGCACTTGCCGCCTTACACCCTGTATCTGCCCGGGCTTTCATGTCCCCGCAGCCACAGCGCCGGCTGCCTTTAGGGGTCCAACCCAGGCAGGTCTGAGAGCCAAGGTGAGGGTAAAATTTTGCGAGTATGAGGCCCACGGAATACAGTCCTTTCTTCCAAATATCTCGCACGCGGTTTTGAGAAAGGCGTCTGACCTCGGGCGGCCTGGGCCGTGGGGGCCTTGCCTACCTCTCTGCCGTACCAATCTCCTGTTCATTAATTCATGAACCCCAGGGGACCGAGGAGTGGGGTGGGGGTGGGAGACAATTTTCAGAGAAGTACAGAAATCTCAAAACTACAGAGGGGACCCCTGCTGCGGAAGGTAGAAAATCTGGAGGAAGGCCGGGAGCAGTGGCTCACGCCTGTAATCCCAACACTTTGGGAGGCCGAGGCGGACGGATCACGAGGTCAGGAGTTCGAGACCAGCGTGGTCAATATGGGGAAATCCCATCTTTATTAAAAATATAAAAATTAACCGAGCATGGTGGCGTGCGCCTGTAGTCCCAGCTACTCGGAAGGCTGAGGCAGAAGAATCGCGTCAACCCGGGAGGCGGAGGTTGCAGTGAGCCGGGATCATTGCACTCTAACCTGGGGCACGGAGCAGACTCTTAAAAAAAAAAAAAAAAATTCTGGAGGAAGAACTGGGGTTAACTAGACAAGGGGCAGGACTGGAGGGGAGGAAAGGACACAGATGAGACCCTACTGCGAAGGCCTGTGTCTTACCATTGCTGAAATACCCTATGGCAGAAGCAGCTAGCCTTAGACAACAGTTCATTCATTCAGTGACAGGCAATGGGGATAAGCCTCTGTCTTCGAGGATGGGATGATGGAGCAGGGAGACAATAAACGATTTAAAAACATGTTATAAGTTGGTTAAGTTGGGGGGGTCGGGGGGGCAGAAAGAAGCAATGAGGGACGGTTGGGGTTAGCAGTGTGGGTTGTTTAGTAATAATGGGGTGATCTGGGAGGACTCATCTGAAGATGAGTAAGGGATCTCAGCAAAGCAGGACCGCACCCTCCGGCCCGGTATTTAAACGAATTTGGTTTTTAAAGAAGAATCCAAGGGTTGGAGCTGGGCCCGCGGTGGCTCACGCCTGTAATTCTAGCCCTTCGGGAAGCCGAGGTGGGCGTATTTCGAGACCAGCCTGGTCAACATGGCGAGACCCCGTCTCTGCAAAAAATACAAAAATTAGCCGGGCGTGGTGGCGGCGGCGCACACCTGTGGTCCCAGCAACTTGGAAGGCTGAGGTGGGCGGATCGCTTGGGCCCCGGGGATGTTGCGGCTGCTGTGATCAGAGATTGCGCTGTTGCACTCCAGCCTGGGCGACAGAGTGAGACCCTGTCTCAAAAATAAATAAATAAATAAATAAATAGAATATGCCGGGCTCACGCCTGTAATCCCAGTACTTTGGGAGGCCGAGGTGTGTGTATCACTTGAGGTCAGGAGTTCGAGACCATCCAGCCTGATCAACATGGTGAAACCCAGTCTCTACTAAAGAAGCACAGGCGTGGTGGTGCACGCCTGTAATCCCAGCTACTTGGGAGGCTGAGGCAGGAGAATCACTTGAACCTGGGAAGTGGAGGTTGCAGTAAGCCGAGATCGCGCCATTGCACTCCTGTCTGGGCAACAAGAGCGAAACTCCGTCTTAAAGAAAAGAATAATAAAAATTAAAAAAAATAAAAATAAAAAGAATCCAAGCGACAGGAGTTGTCTTGCTATGGGGCCGGCCGGATGGGCTCTCGGGGTAGTTTAGGGGAGTCGCACTGCGCTACCAGCCCGCGCCTCAGGTTCACGACCCAGCGGCAACTTGGGCACGCATAAGCGCGTCATCCATGGGAAAGCGCTCAGGATGGCCAGAGACGCCACAACGGAGCAGTCACCTCGCGAAAGAGGCTTCCGTGAAGAGTGAGTGTCGAGACCCACGCTGAAGAGGAAAAAGGGCCTAGAGGCTGCACAGATGAGGTCGCCAGGAGGGACGAAATGGAGACCGAGTAGCGCCCGGACCCCCGGGCGGGGACGCTGTGACCCCGTGCTGTAGGAGTGGAACCCAGACAGGAGCCGAGGAGGAAACGACATGCTTCTATGGAGCTTTAGGACTGCGGGGGTTAGGGACACAGGTTCATGGGAATTGTCTGGAAGGGCGTGGCCGCAGGAAGGGCCTCCTCCGCCAGGCGCAGGCGCGCTACGGGGCGGGAGGGGGAGGAGCCTTACTCGCGGATGCGCCCCGCCCCGCGAACAAATATTTGACATTCCGGGCTTATCGGGAGGCGGGGTCCGAAGAGCAACGTTCTCCCTTCCCCCCGCGCCTGATTTGCTTACCGTTTCCGGGGGAGGAGACACATGGGCCAGTGCTCGGGTGGGCGGTCCGGAGATGGGCAGCCGCGCACCGAGGCCCGCCTCCACCTGTAAGGAAAGTAAAGTGCTAGTGGCTCGAACCCGCCGGGCGAAGGATGCACTTTCCTTTCTCTCCCTGTCGCCGTGTCCGGGCGGGAGTCATTTCCGTCCCGGGCGCCTGTTTCTTTAGCTGCCAAGTGGAGCTACGCCGAGCTCTCTAGCCCCGGGCCTCGCCCCTTCCCCGGGCATGAGCTCTGGGGATGCGCCAGGGTGCTCCGCTCTCTCCATTGTCCGGGGGCGGGGACGCAGCACCCTCCTTGTCCGAAAGCGCGTGGCGTGGCTCCTGTCTCAGTCTCGAGTCGGGCTAGGCAACCGCGTGACTCAGTTCCCGCCAGGCTGGAGCCCCCTCCTTCCTGCTGGATTATTCAGTTTCTCAGTCACTTATTCAGTTTCTCAGTCACCTCCCTGGGAGAGTTTGGGAAAGTAAGGAACGGCCGGGAAATGCACCATAAAGGAGCCTCGCCAAGTTCCACTGGGCGAAGGGGGCACTGGGAGCCCCCAACGCGGGACTGTCAATTGGGTTGTAGGTGCGGGATGGAAAAGGGAGGATCCGCAGCCCGCACGCGCGCACACACGCTCAACGCTAGCTCCCCCATCCGCCAGAGCGCTCGCAATCTCCAGGCAGCTTCTCCATCGTCGAGAAAGGGACGAAAGCAGGCAGGCCCCCACACGTGGGAGTTCCGAGGCTCCAGGCCCCTTCTACCCCTCTCAGCCTTGTCTAGGGTGCAGCTCTCTGGGGTTGGGGGGGTTCCTTTCCCCAGCATTGAGGCCTGCTCACTTCCAACCCACAACGACCGCACTCTGGCACTTCTCAGTGCCAGGCTACCGCTCGGCCCTAGCGTCTGCATGGACAAACCGTTACCTGTGATCCCTGGTGACCACCCCACAGCTCTAACAACCCTGATGTTCCCGCCGCCCTCCCCTTTCCCAGCTGACTTCTGGTGATCCCCCCACAGGGTGATACCCGGCAACTCTCGCCGCCCCCTTGACCCTTTGACTTCCATCAACCCCAGACCTGCCGTGGTGACCCCCACAGCCCCTAGACTGCCTCCTGGCGCCTTCCATAGGTCCTGTGTGACTCTCTCGGAGTAGAGAAGGCCTCTTGCATGGTCCTTTGCAGAGGCCTGACGGCCCCTGGGGAAGAGTAGGGGGAGAGCGAAGAACGGGTTAGCCCCAAGAATCAGGCAGGACCAGCCCTAGAAGTAGGAATCCGGATCCTAAGCGTGCACCCACACCGGGATTATGAGTTCTTGCGTCCTGGGCTGGGTTGTGGCGGCCCTCCCCCAAGGTTCCCGGGGCCGCCCCGGTCACGTGGCCGGCGGGGCAGGCAGGTAACTAGCCTGGAGAGGGCGTGGGCCGGTAGCCGCCCCGCCCCGCGGGGCGCCACGGGCGGGTCTCGGCAGCGCCCACTGAGCCAGCCGGGCTGCAGGTGCCGCCCCCGACACACGGTGTCCCGCCCAAGCTGATCCGCGTCTGCCGTCGGTCGGTGCCTGCGTGCGCCTCGTCGGTCCGCGTGTGTCTGGCCGAGCGCCGCCTTCCTCTGCGGCCATGACTCCGCCGCCGCCCCCGCCCCCAGGCCCTGACCCCGGGGCTGACCCCGCCGCAGACCCCTGCCCCTGTCCCGGATCACTGGTCGTCCTGTTCGGGGCTACGGCGGGTGCGCTGGGACGAGACCTGGGCTCGGATGAGACCGACTTAATCCTCCTAGTCTGGCAAGTGGTTGAGCCGCGAAGCCGCCAGGTAGGGTGGTAAGGAGGCGGTGAGGTCCCCAGGGAGCTTCCGCGGTCGAGGGACGCGGCTGATCGGTTTCCCCCGCCGCTCACAGGTGGGGACGCTGCACAAATCTCTGGTTCGCGCCGAGGCGGCCGCACTGAGTACGCAATGCCGCGAGGCTAGCGGCCTGAGCGCCGACAGCCTGGCGCGGGCAGAGCCGCTGGACAAGGTGCTGCAGCAGGTGAGCGCTGGGGTGGGTGGCGGCACGGCCTGGCCGTGAGGACATTTCTGGGCGGGAGAGGCTGCCGGAGGCTAGGCCTGGCGTGCCGCAACCAACCGGCCCGGGCGGCAGGACGGGGTCTTGTTTGAAACTTTGAGCGACTCTCACGTGTGCGTGTCCCTTTCATCCGCGCGTGCCGGCCATTCCCCTGGGCGCCTTACTTTTCAACCATTGCAGGAACCTACTCCTACCGAAGGGATCGGGACGCAGGCTTTGGGATCCATCCCCAGTTCCCGCCCGGGGAGCGAGGCCGAGACGCCTTTGGGAGACCTGCTGGGTCAGGTCTCCCTGAGCCGCAGTCGGAAGCGAAAAGGGTCGAGGGGCCCATATAGGTCGCCAGTCCTTGCCGCCCGCGTCTTCGGCCCGCTTGGGAGCCGCTGGAGTGGAGGCGTAGGGCGGTGTCGGCCCTAGAGGTAGACGCCGCCAGGTGTAAACTGCTCGTCTAGGCCTGTCCCGGCCGGCTGGCCAGGCGTGGGCGCTGTCCCGGCCTGGCCTGGGGGACTATCTGCCTGCTGAGTGCAAAGGCCTGGGGTGCTTCCTGCCCTAGCTGAAGTGGGAGGTGGTTTCCATTGCTGTTTTCTTTTCCTTATCTTCACTACGTCGCTCACTCTGTGTCTGACTCTTGAGTGTAATAGTCTTAAGTCCTTTATACGCACACATTCTTTCATCTTCCAACAACTCTTGTGGTTCCTGACGAGGAGGCACCACGATGATGATTCTTGTCTGTTTCAGAAGGGCTCTGGGCCCTTCACTTGGGGAGTTTGCTGGAGGAGAGCTGGGTTGCCTTGCTCTGTCAGCCTCAGGTTGTAAAGTTTCACAGAATTGGCAGGGAGGGTCCGTGGGTCAGTGATTAGTGCTTATACTTCTCCAGCCAGGATGGAGGCTGGGGGAGGGCTGGGCAGCCTCAGGAGTGCCACCCCCTCTATAAGCAAACAGCTCAGTGCCAGCCGGTCGATAGGGTGTGGGTCAAAGCTCATGCTGCCCCTGATGTCCAAGTGTGGAGCTCTGTCCTTGGAGTTTCTCTGCCCCTCGGTTGGTCAGACCTGGAGGCGGGGCTGCCATTGACCATGAGCCTTCTGGGCCTCAGGCAGGACTGGGCCTCCCTCACCTGTCTGAGGGTGGTGCCTGGTCAGAGACAGGTTTAACCTGCTTTGCTCCGCCTCTTCCCACCTGCTTGTCCCACTCCAGGTGTTTGCTCTGGCCCCACTCCAAACTCCTGGAGTGTGTGTGTTGGGTTATGTGTGATTGCCCTCATTTGGCCTGGAGGAGGTGACAGTGGACTGGAACAAGGTTGGGGGGTGAGGGGAAGGGACATAGGGCTAGGCTCAACAGGTGTGGCCTCTTCTTCCCAGGCAGGATAGGGTTGAACATCTGGCTGAACCAGCTTTGCAGCCTGCCTCCTTCCTCCTCCTACCCTCACTTCCTGCCTGCCCAGCTGTGAATCTGTGTGTTTCTCTCTCCCCACTCCCTATCCCCAGTTCTCACAGCTGGTGAATGGGGATGTGGCTCTGCTGGGCGGGGGCCCCTACATGCTCTGCACTGATGGGCAGCAGCTATTGCGACAGGTCCTGCACCCTGAGGCCTCCAGGAAGGTATGCCCCTGAAGGAAAACCAGGCAGGGGGGCAGGGTCAGTAAGGGTCCCAGGACCCCTGTTGTCCTGAGGGTGGGCAGGGCACTCATCCCCAATCTATGTGCCCCTAGAACCTGGTGCTCCCCGACACATTCTTCTCCTTCTACGACCTCCGAAGAGAGTTCCATATGCAACATCCAAGTACCTGCCCTGCCAGGGACCTCACTGTGGCCACCATGGCACAGGGTATCTGTGACCCAAAAGGGTTAGGGTGGACAAGCCACTGTGGGTACATGTATCTGAGTATGCGCATGCTGGTGGGTGGGTAATATGGACACATGCAAGTCTGCATCATCTGCTAAGTCCCTGACTGTACCTGTGTCTGTGTGTCTGTGCTAGGATGAGTTTGGAATGTGGGTATGTGTCTATGTCTGGACTGGGGATCTGTAAGTGCACACATGAACTGGGCCAAAACAGATGTATATGCTGGTCTCCAGCATGTGTCTATGGAGGGGAGTTGGGCCCAGGGGTAAACAGGATTCGTGCTTATGCTGTCTTCACTGTCACTTCTCTACCCATAGATTTAGGACTGGAGACTGATGCCACAGAGGATGACTTTGGGGTCTGGGAAGTGAAGACAATGGTAGCTGTTATCCTCGATCTACTCAAAGAGTCCAGCAGTAAGTTTTCCCTCACTGCCTGTCACCTGTTCTCAGGGATGACGAATGCCGGCCTATTACTCCTCCCCACTGTGACCTTCTCTAAGAGACCACAGGGGAAGCCTCTTTGTCATTTCTTCTTTTTCTTTGTGACAGAGCCTTGCTCTGTAGCCTAGGCTAGAGTGCAATGGTGCAAACTCAGCTTACTGCAACCTCCACTTTCCGGGTTCAAGCTATTCTCCTGCCTCAGCCTCCAGAGTAGCTGGGATTACAGGCGCTCGCCACCACGCCTGGCTAATTTTTGTATTTTTAGTCGAGACTGGGTTTCACCATGTTGGCCAGGCTGGTCTCGAACTCCTGACCGCAAATGATCCACCCACCTTGACCTCCCAAAGTGCTGGGATTATAGGCCTGAGCCACTGCGCTCGTCCTGTCATTTCTTCATCTCCCTCAACTGTCCTCTTTTTGCAGAACTTGGTGGGGAGACCCCTCTCCAGCAGACCCTGCTGACCCCCACACCATCTTTTCTCAGGTCAATTGTTTTCGAAGCCTGAGGTGATAAAGCAGAAATATGAGACGGGGCCTTGGTGAGTGTGGGAGCAGGGGCTGGGGGGTGACAACAGCTGGATAGCTCTGACAGCACTGTGCCCTGCCTCTACAGCAGCAAGGCAGATGTGGTGGACAGTGAGACTGTGGTACGGGCTCGTGGGTTGCCCTGGCAGTCATCAGACCAGGACGTGGCTCGCTTCTTCAAAGGGCTCAACGTGGCCAGGTGGGTGTGGTGGGGTGGGTGGGCCCAACTGGACAGGCCTACCCAGGAGGCACTAACAGCACTGGCTCCACAGGGGTGGTGTAGCGCTCTGCCTCAACGCCCAGGGCCGCAGAAATGGTGAGGCCCTCATCCGCTTTGTGGACAGCGAGCAGCGGGACCTAGCGCTGCAGAGACACAAGCATCACATGGGCGTCCGCTATATTGAGGTGGGGCTTTGGGCTGGGAGCGGAGCAGGGCCAATCTGAGCCAGGCCTGAGACCCACGGGCTGCTGCTCTCTGTACCCACAGGTGTATAAGGCGACAGGGGAGGAGTTTGTAAAGATCGCAGGGGGTGAGTATACCCCAAACAGGGCCTGGCTCCCCTGGTCCTTGATCCATATCTCACTTCCCCACCACCCCCTTGCCTGCCTGCTCCCCTGCATGGGTGAGTGTCTGAAGGGGCACGAGTGAAGTCAGCAGGTGACTCCCATGTCCCCCACACAGGCACATCACTAGAGGTGGCTCGTTTCTTGTCACGGGAAGACCAAGTGATCCTGCGGCTGCGGGGACTGCCCTTCTCGGCTGGGCCAATGGACGTGCTAGGCTTCCTGGGGCCAGAGTGCCCAGTGACTGGGGGTGCCGAGGGGCTGCTCTTTGTGCGCCACCCTGACGGCCGGCCGACTGGTGATGCCTTCGCCCTCTTTGCTTGTGAGGAGCTGGCACAGGCTGCACTGCGCAGGCACAAGGGCATGCTGGGTAAGCGATACATTGAACTCTTCCGGAGCACTGCAGCCGAGGTGCAGCAGGTGAGCACCCAGGGCTTTCCACCCCTAGAAGTACTGTTACTCCAGGGTGGCCCTCTGTGCCCCCACCCTACTTGGCATGACCAGCCTGTTGCTGCCTTCCTTACTAGGTCTTGAACCGCTATGCATCTGGCCCACTCCTTCCCACACTGACTGCCCCACTGCTGCCCATCCCCTTCCCACTGGCACCTGGGACTGGGAGGGACTGTGTACGCCTCCGAGGCCTGCCCTACACGGCCACCATTGAAGACATCCTGAGCTTTCTGGGGGAGGCAGCAGCTGACATCCGGCCCCATGGTGTGCACATGGTGCTCAACCAGCAGGTGAGGCCACTGCTTGGTAGGGGGAACACATCAATAGGAAGGGGTGTGTGTTAGGGGTAAGGCACTCTTACACATGACAAACTGCTCACAAGATGGTGTGCACAGGGCCGGCCATCGGGCGATGCCTTCATCCAGATGACATCAGCAGAGCGAGCCCTAGCTACTGCTCAGCGTTGCCATAAGAAGGTGATGAAGGAACGCTACGTGGAGGTGGTCCCCTGTTCCACAGAGGAGATGAGCCGTGTGCTGATGGGGGGCACCTTGGGCCGCAGTGGCATGTCCCCTCCGCCCTGCAAGCTGCCCTGTGAGTGCCCTAGGGGCTAGGGAAGAAGGAGGCCTGTGGGAGTCAGGCTGTTGTAAGCCCCTACTACTTTGTATAGCGGGAACTCCTTTCTGGCTGCCCCACCCAGGGCAGTGCTAGGCTCCGTGCACATGCACTTTTTCCTTCTGTCTCTAGGCCTCTCACCACCTACCTACGCCACCTTCCAAGGCACCCCAACCCTCATTCCCACGGAGACGGCAGCTCTATACCCCTCTTCAGCACTGCTCCCAGCTGCCAGGGTACCTGCGGCCCCCACCCCTGTTGCCTACTATCCAGGGCCAGCCACTCAACTCTACCTGAACTACACAGCCTACTACCCAAGGTACCCTGCAGCTAAGAGAACACCACAGTCCCGCTCCCTGTCCCAATCTAGGGAAGGGTCACGATCCCCTTTCTGGACCAGATGACAAGGGAGTAAGGTGGGAGCTGGCTAACACCATCTACAAAACAGATCGAAGATGACTCTGTAGAAGTTGGGGCTTCAGGGAGGAGGAACTGAACTAATCACAAGGCAGAAGCAAGGGAGGAGGGAAACAGGACTCGGTCTAGGCCACATGTGGCATGCATGACTAAACCTTGTCTCTTCCACCCTAGCCCCCCAGTCTCCCCCACCACTGTGGGCTACCTCACCACACCCACTGCTGCCCTGGCCTCTGCTCCCACCTCAGTGTTGTCCCAGCCAGGAGCTTTGGTCCGCATGCAGGGTGTCCCATACACAGCTGGTATGAAGGATCTGCTTAGCGTCTTCCAGGCCTACCAGGTGAGATTGTGTGACTGGAGGGCCTGGCGGGTCTGGCTGAGCTCTTTGCCCTAAATCTGCATCCCTTCTGTAGCTACCTGCTGATGACTACACCAGTCTGATGCCTGTTGGTGACCCACCTCGCACTGTGTTACAAGCCCCCAAGGAATGGGTGTGTTTGTAGGAGAGAAAGCCAGGAGGTAAGAGCCAGCTGATATCCTCAGTGAACATGTCTCTCCTGCATCCAGACCAGCACCCTCAACCTGGTAGCTTCTTTCTGGCTTGTCAAAGCTCTCAGAAGGTACCTAGAGGAGCCCAAGCCCCAGCTCCACCCTCCACTTATTCTTCTGCCTGTTTCCCCCAAAGACAATGGCTGAACCCTACATGCAGGGCTAGGGGTGGAATGGGGCTAACCGGCTCCTGATGGCCTGAGCCAGGCATCTTGACTGGCACCTGGAGAGCCCTTTAGTGTGTCCTGGCTGTGGCTCATGCCAACAGATACGGTGGGGCTGATAGGTCCATGGCAGGCTTGCTTTCTTTTTTAAAATGGAAGCTCTGGTACCTTCAATGTATGATTCCTGGGAGAATCAAGGGTCCATCTGAGCCTCTGAGTAAAGATCCCAATGTTCTACCTCCCCCTGTCCCTCTGGTGGGGGATAAGGAGGCAGAGGGAGCCAGCCCTACCCTCAGAATATCTGGACCTCAGAGACCATGTTGTGCCAGGGATGGTCCCACCTAAAGATGCTAGCCCCTCCCGAGGTGGGCATAAGGAGTAACAGATGGCAAAACCACGAACTATTTTGATGGACTGTGCTGCAGTATCACCAGAAGACATTAGGGGGCAGGAGGCCCCCACACAAAAACTCAGGCTTGACTTTTAAAGGGGACTTTGCCAACTTTTCTTGTATGCCTTCGGAAAGCCAGTTGCCCTGAACCCAGCAGACACCGTGGAATGTCCTTTGCACGCATTAAATGGTACCGAACTGAAGCCTCAGAAGCAATTTGGAACTCGATTTTCTCTTCCCTAAATGAAAAGTTATTAACCAAATGGACTTTTTAAAAGCCACAGGACCCTTAACTTTGCCCCAAAGTGAGGAGCTCCACACCAACCCCAGGCACAGGAACACTCAGACAGATTAAGGAGACTGTTGACCTGTCATTGTTTATTATTTCAGCACTAAAACTGAGGAGCCTCAACTGCTGGCTCTTATTCCCTTTGTATTTGTGTAAGGAGCACCGCACTCCCATAAAAGGTTTTAAAATACAAAATGTACAAGAACACACAATTCCAAGTGCTGTAAACATAACTGAGAACCAGTTCCTTTACTAAACATCCATTTTATAAATCACAAGGTTTCAATTTGAGCCCATCTGAGCCTTAAAGATCCATTCTGAATACCAAAGACAAGGCTTCACAGCCAGGCCCAGAAGAGGTCTGGTGATAATGGCTGGCCCTGGGTGGGGATAGTTTACACCTGGGCAGCAGCACCACACATAAACCCGAAGACATGTTCCTTTTAAAGCTGTTTTCAGCCATGTTTCTCTGTGCATCTCCAGTAAGCAGAAGGCTACTCATTCCATTCCTCAACCCAAGAGCTAGCACAGTTAGAGTAGGAGGGGGTGCATACTAGCACGTGCCCAGTTGCTCAGTGCTGCTACTATAAATTGATTTGCATAGTCCAATGGATGTGTGCTTTAACACCACTATGTTGCACAAAAATTTAAGTCTTTATCTACAAAGCCAAAAAATATTGACTCTTAACACCAAAGCTTTTACAAAGCTGATATAAAAATGCTTACATAGTATACAAAGCTCTATTTTAAAATTTAATGTTTATTTTAAATAGGAAAGCATTTCTAGTGCTACAGGCATCAAGGTATTTAGAAGGCATCAAAATTTGGTGCATAGCAACTCTGGATCATAGAGGCTTTTAATTCTTGAGGGCAGCAAAGCAGCCCCCAAAGGGTATTGCAAGGGGAACTCTTGCAATAATCCCATGTGAGGCAGCTACACCAGGGGCAAAAGGGTAGAGGCAAGTCTGGCCATTTCTCTGGAATGTCAATCGAGAGGCCAACTTCTTGCCCCTCCAAAGGAAGCTGTGGGCTTCCAACCACAGGCCCAGAAGCAAATCTCACTATCCACATTCTGTGACACAACTCACTTTTCAAGAAAATTTGAAACCACCCAGCTCCAAGACGGGCCACAGTGATCTGCTGAAGGACAGATCTTTTTCTCTAACTTTAGAGGAGAAATCTGAAATACATTTTTGTTTTTTTTTAAAGACCATACTTCCTCATCCTGAGTCAACAGCTCCAACCCTACTGACAACAGGTGGTGGGCAATAGGCCAGCTCCCTTTCCCAGGCCTGAACTGGCCTCAGTAGAGAGAGTCCTGGCATCAAGGGCCTGCAGTCTCCTGGAATAACAGCATCAGGCCTTCAACCAGCACACTGTCTCACATATAGGCACTCAAAAAATCTGCTTCCTGAATCAGTGGAAGTATATTATTTCATTTGAAAGCATACTGCAAACTTCAGAGGCTCTGTAATAGGCCCAGGAACAGGTAAAAGATCCCACTAGGGAGAGGGGTAAGGGCAGGTTTTTTTTTTTCTAAAGTACCCAACTTGGGTACCTCCTTTGGTAGACAGCAGGCTGCAGTTTCTGCTGGGCCCTGCCTTAGACACCAGTCTCACCAGCAGCAGCACCAGGGTGTCTTTGGTGTGGAGGGTCAGGTTATCACTTCTGGATGTGCTCAGAGCCTTCTGGGGAAAAGGCGGGTTTTTAGATCATACAGACAGGACAGGGTAGGTCAGAATCATTTTGGGCTATAAACAGAATGGCAGATAAGCCTTCCATGCTAGTGTGACTCTTAAAACCTTCCCATCTGGAGTCCTCTATTTTCTCTGCCCATGCTGATGTACAGCTCACCTGTGCTTTAGCTCTGCACACAGCCTGGCCTCTAGAGAAGAGTTACAACTGCGAAGCTGCCTAAACCACAGTGAGACTGACTTCAAAGGTCACAGAACAGCAAAGGCAGATGCTCCTGTTTGGAAAAGGTTCTAGGACCAGATGACACAAATAGGAAGAGCACTGAACAGCTTACTAGTTTTTATCATGGCAAGAAATGAAAGTGACCAAGCTAAAACCCCACCATTCAGAGTCACCTTAAATGTAGCCATGTAACCCAGGGTCCTGAGGGAAAAAGCAATTTCAACATGGAGCCAGTATGGAGAGATTGCAAGATTACCTAGAAAGTTACCAAAAGGCTATGCTCTGGAATGTCTTCTTATATTCCAACACTTCAATGATGGAATGGTCTCTTCTCATTTTATCTAACAACAGTTTAGTTTTATAAAGAGGTATGAGCTACATTTGGCTTTATTTCCTATAAATCTATGAAAATCTTTAGGACACATGCTGACTTTCTGAGGCATAGGTGTGGGCTTGGGATTTTTTTCTTTTTTTTCTTTTTCTTCTTTTTTTTTTTTTTTTGCTTCTGGAAGGTCTTATCAAAAGTTCCTATTTTAAAAATTATCATAAAAACTAAAGGGCCCTTCAAATGACCATAAAGCAGTACAAATCACCAATCCTCTCTAAGTAACAGGTCACCTGCAAAAGCAGCACCTCGGAAACAAGAGCCTGCTGCATTCACACTCAAAGCACCCATCACGTAAAAGTATCCTAGTTAAATATAAAAAGCAAAGCTCGTTTCCTCAAAGCTCAAACAGCCTATGCTGCTCCTGTTCTTTTACAAAATCTACCCAAGGCCTGAGGTGGAGGAACGCTGCTTTCCCCACAAATGGTGAGTCCCACTCCTGGTGCCAGACCTGAAGGCTGCAGAGTTGGAAACCCAAGGTCCAAGGAGAGAAACATGCTGAGAAGTTGATGGTGGACACAAGGCTGCAGTGAGCACTGTTAGAGTCCATCAGATCTTCCTAAATCCAGGGACTCAGGACTCGGGAGGGGAGCCTGCCTGCTCACCCCTGCTCCTTGGGAAACAGAAATCTGGGACATGTCTCTCCCAATTATCTCGTTCACTGAAAAACAAGAAAAGGGAGAGTGATTAGTGACTTCTGAGTGACTAGCCTTATGATGCGAAGTGCTGAGCTCTACCTCAGACATTTTCCTTCCCATGGCTTTCTGTAACGATAAAGGCAGTATCTGAAGCCTGCTCCTGAGCTAAGTGGCATTAGAGATGGAAACATCACTCCACAAACTGCTCCGGACCTCTTTTTCTCTCCCTCTCATTTAGTTCATTTTGGGTTGGGAAGGGGGCTTACCCTCACTCTAAAGGTACTTTTAAACAAGTATTCACCTTACTCTAACTTTTCTTTAATTTGTATCTCTTCGAGAAAGTTTTTATTTTCTACAATGCCACCTCCTATATAAATGGAATGAAAATAAATGCTTTGGTCAGAATAAACCACTGTGATGTGGGGGTGATTTTGCTACTCTATCCTAATACAAGCACTCTTTATTATGTGGGGGCATTTCTGTTGTTTGTGATCTTTTCTGATTGGAGGCTCTAGCTTTTCTATTAATTTCTCTGATGTTCCAAGCACCTCAGGGAGGTACAGTGCTCTGTGAGGTCCAGAGCAAAGAATTTCCATCTTATGGAACTAACATAGAAGGGAACATCCCAAATCCCCCAAATAAGAAACTTTAGTTCTCATATCATTTCATTCCTTGCCTTATCAACTAAAGTCTACGCTAATTCCACTCCTAGGCATATATACAAGAGAAGTGAAAACATATGTCCACAATAAAAACTTTCAAATGTTCACAGCAGCATTATTAATAATAGCCAAAAAGTGGAAACAATCCAAATGTCTACCAAGTGATGAATGGATAAACGGTAAGTTGTCTCTATCCATAAAATGGAGTATCGGCCTTGAAATGTAATGAAGTTCTGATATATGCTTCAGCCTTGAAAACAGTCTGCTAAGTCAAAGAGGCCAGATACAAAAAGTCATATATGATTCCATTTATATGAAATGTCCAGAACAGGCCACTCCATAGAGACAGAAAACAGATTACAGCTTGTGGAGAGGGAGAAACGGGGAGTGATTACTAATGGGTATGGAGTTTCTTTTCAGAGTAATGAAAATGGAGTTATAAAATTAGATACAAGTAGCCAGGTGCGGTGGCTCATGCCTGTAACCCCAGCACTTTGGGAGGCTGAGGCGGGCAGGTCACCTGAGGTCGGGAGTTTGAGACCAGCCTGACCAAAATGGAGAAACCCCGTCTCTACTAAAAATACAAAATTAGCCGGGTGTGGTGACGCATGCCTGTAATCCCAGCTACTTGGGAGGGTGAGGCAGGAGAATCGCTTGAACCCGGGAGGTGGAGGTTGCAGTGAGCCGAGACTGCACCATGCACTCCAGTCTGGGAAACAAAAGCGAGACTCCGTCTCAAAAAATAAATAAATAAAAATAAATAAAAATAGATACTAGTAATAGTTGCAAAACTCTGACTATACTAAAAACCACTCAGTTGTATACTTTTAAGGATAAATTTTTTTTTCGTTTTTGAGACAGAGTCTCGAACTGTCGCCTGGACTGGAGTGCAGTGACGTGATCTCAGCTCACTGCAACCTCCGCCTCCTGGGTTCAAGTAATTCTCCTGTCTCAGCCTCCTAAGTAGCTGGGATTACAGGCACCCACCACCACGCCCAGCTAATATTTTTGTATTTTTAGTAGAGAACGGGTTTCACTATGTTGACCAGGCTGGTCTCAAACTCCTGACCTCGTGATCCACCCACCTCAGCCTCCCAAAGTGCTGGGATTACAGGTGTGAGCCACTGCACCCAGCCTTTAAGGACAAATTTTATGGTATGTGAATTATATCTCGTTACAGCTGTTATAAACAAAAATAGACCAAAACAAAAAGTTTTCTATACTTAGAATTTGATGTGATCATAGAGCAAAGAAACACTAACAAACATTTAAAAAATCTTGCAAGTATTAACATCTAATCTTTTCTGGTTTACCACAGTTAAGAACAAAAATTTCTCAAACTCATATGGTTATAAGGAGAAGGGAATTAATATTTACTAATTCAGTTGCTTGAACCCAGGATGTGGAGGTTGCAGTGAGCCAAGATTGTGCCACTGCAGTCCAGCCTGGGTGACTCCATCTCAAAAAAAAAAAAAAAAAAAAAGGCCGGGCACAGTGGCTCATGCCTGTAATCTCAGCACTCTGAGAGGCCGAGGAGGACAGATCACCTGAGGTCAGAAGTTCAAGACCAGCCTGGCCATGGTGAAACCCCATCTCTACTTAAAATACAAAAAATTAGCTGGGCGTGGTGGTACGCGCCTGTAATCCCAGTTACTCAGGAGGCTGAAGCAGGAGAATTGTTTGAACCTGGGAGGCAGAGGTTGCAGTGAGCCGAGATCATGCCATTGCATTCCAGACTGGGGGACAAGAGCGAAACTTTGCCTCAAAACAAAAACAAAAAAACACTACTAATTCAGGACGGGCGTGGTAGCTCACACCTGTAATCCCAGCACTTTGGGAGGCCGAGGCGGGTGGATCACCTGAGGTCAGGAGTTCGAGACTAGCCTGGCCAACACGGTGAAATCCCATCTCCATTAAAAATACCAAAAAGTTAGCCGGGTGTAGTGATGCACGCCTGTAGTCCCAGCTACTTGGGAGGCTGAGGCAGAAGAATTGCTTGAATCCAGGAGGTGGAGGTTGCAGTGAGCCAAGATGGCGCCATTGTACTCCAGCCTGGGAGACAAGAGAGAAACTCTGTCTAAAAAAAAATATATATGTGTGTGTGTGTGTGTGTGTGTGTGTGTGTGTACTGAATGTAGTAAGTACTGAATGTAGAACAGTAAAGAAGTAGGGACTAGAAGCCAAATACATCTATATATTTACTAATTCCACAAATATTTACTGAGCATTTATAGTTTAGGTTTTACAACTGAAATTAAATCTTATTTCAGTTAATCTTCACAATACTTTAAATATTATCTCACTTTACAGATGAATTAACTGAGGCTTTGACAGGTCACATAATTTGCCTTAAAGTTACATGCTCGTGGAATCAGCCTCAAAATACCAGTTGCGTTCTTAGAAGTCAAAATGTAGAGATGGAAGGAAATGACTGAGATAAAGAAAATGCAAAGGAGCTGGGTAAAATGTGGTGATCCTAGTGGGAGGGAAAGCAAGTGTGATGGTAAGGAGGAGATAAAAGAAGTGGTGATTTACCACCACTAAAGTTTTGAGACTAAAAGAGAAAACAATGGTGCAGTCACAACAGGGAAGGAGGAGTTCAGAGGAGGAAGGTGGTAGGTTAGGTCTGGAATTGGAAATTAGAAACCCCAAATGGAAAAATCAGTGGGCATGGGGCTACAATCAATGGTCAGAACAAGAAGAGATTTAGGTATATTCATACTCACTAGAGACCTAGAAGCATGAGGGAAATTTTGCACAGAAGTTATATCACTGAAAAGCAGAGGCTGATAATAATAAGTGGGAGTAGTATCATTGTGCTCTGATGAGAAGATAGGACCTGGGAAGGCAAATATGTGAGTAGAGGAGTGGCCTAGAAATTAGGTTTGGTTTGAATTCAGGCTCTGCCACTAACTTCATGTTGTGTCCTTGGACAAATTATTTCATATATCTAAAACACCCTTTATTTGTACTATGACAGTGCTGGATTAGTACGATGTCTTTTAGCTGCAGTAGTCAACAGTTTTATGTCAGTAGACAGTTTTCAAGTGGCAGTACACAAAGGTATGCAGAGAAATAAAGGATGAAGGCTGGGTGCAGTGGCTCACTCCTGTCAACCCAGCACTCTGGGAGGCCGAGGCAGGTGGATCACAAGGTCAGGAGTTCAAGGGCCCAAGATGGTGAAACCCCCGTCTCTACTAAAAATACAAAATTAGTTGGGGCATGGTGGCAGGCGAGTGTAATCCCAGCTACTCGGGAGGCTGAGGCAGAGAATCGCTTGAACCTGGGGACGGGGTTGCAGTGAGCCCATGATTGGCACCACTTCACTCCAGCCTAGGCAAACAGAGTAAACTCTCAAAAAAAAAAAATTTTTTTTTTTTGGCTTGGCTGTGGTTAGTACTGAATGTAGAATAGTAAAGAAGTAGGGACTTTTTTTTTTTTTTTTTGGACTCTACAAAACAGTGAAGATTAATCAATACTGGTGAGCTAATAATCATTTTTTTTTTTTTTTTTGCCTTTTTTTTTTTTTTTTTTTTTACAGGCTCCTGTCACCGCGCCTGGCTTTTTTTTTTTTTTTTTAGTAGAGACTAGGTTTCACCGTGTTAGCCAGGATGGTCTCGATCTTTTTTTTTTTTGATCCACCTGCCTCAGCCTCCCAAAGTGCTGGGATTACAGGCGTGAGCCTTTTTTTTTTTTCAGGGGGCTCTGTCGCCCAGGCTAGAGTGCAGTGGCCGGATCTCAGCTCATTTTTTTTTTTTCCTCCCGGGTTTACGCCATTCTCCTGCCTCAGCCTCCCGAATAGCTGGGTTTTTTTTTTTTTGCCACCTCGCCCGGCTAGTTTTTTGTATTTTTTTTTAGTAGAGATGGGTTTTTTTTTTTTTAGCCAGGATGGTCTCGATCTCCTGACCTCGTGATCCGCCCATCTCGGCCTCCCAAAGTGCTGGGATTACAGGCTTGAGCCACCGCGCCTGGCCGATAAGCAATTTTTTATTTTTTTTTTTGATAAAGTACTTTGTCAGATTTTTTTTTTTTTTTTGAGATGGAGTCTTCCTTTTTTTTTTTGGCTAGAATGCAGTGGCACAATCTTGGCTCACTGCAACCTCTGTCTCCCATTTTTTTTTTTTGCCTCAGCCTCCAGAGTAGCTGGGATTACAGGTGCCCACCATCGCACCTGGCTAATTTTTCTATTTTTAGTAGAGACAGGGTGTCACCATCTTGGCCAGGCTGGTCTCTATTTTTTTTTTTCATGATCCACCTGCCTCAGCCTCCCGAAGTGCTGGGATTACAGGTGTGAGCCACCACGCCCGGTGTTTTATTTTTTGTTTTTTAAGAGACAGGGTCTCGCTCTGTTACCCATTTTTTT